AATTAACAAGCTTTCACATAAAATTTCTAACAAATTCTTAAGCATGATTGGCATGGAAAACTAACACATTAAGCATGTTATTATTATTATTATTATTATTATTATTATTATTATTATTTTTCATACAATTCACTTAACTACACATTATAATTCAATTAAATATACCTTCTCACATATTTCATATATACAATCAAGGCACTTTAAGGAACAATTATCACAATATAGCATGCTAGAATACTAATAGGATACTAATCAAGAAAAATTAATTCACAAAGGAACAATCATCATAATTTAGCATTCTAGGACACTAATCAAGAACAATTAATTCACAAAGGAGCAAAATTGTAGGAATTAGAGACCCCTACCTCTATGTTATGCAAAAACCCCCAATTTACACCACAAACCCTCAAAATAGGTCAAGATTTTCGGACTCCCTAGGTTGCTCAAAACTGAAATTGCTGGTACACACGTTTAGAGCTCACCGTGCTCTCCGTTTTGCAGCAAATGACACTTAGAAACACTAAGAAATGAGGGAGAAATCAAGAGTGGAAGCTTATGTGAAAAAGAAAAGAAAAAGGAAAATAGAGAAGGAGAGGAAGTTGCGAGAGAAATGAGAGATAAGAAAAATGGGTCTACATCCCATAACCACATGTGCCTTAAAATAAGGTGGGCCCCACAGCTAACATAAAAAAAAATATTTTAATATATATATATATATATATATATATATATATATATATATATATATATATATATATATATATATATAAGATACAAACATTATATTCTCCTCAACTTTAAAAGATTTTGTCCCCGAAATCAAGCCATACCTGAGGGAGAAAACAACTCTGGATACTTGGAGTGAACCTCCTGTTCAAGTTCCCAAGTAGCCTCCTCGACTCCGTGGTGTCTCCAAAGAACTTTCACCATTGGTATCGTCTTATTCCTCAACACCTTCTGCTGTGTGTTAAGGATCTGAACTGGTCCCTCCTCGTAGGAAATATCCTCATCATTGTCTACATCAACCCAACTCAAAATGTGAGATGGATTGGCTCATACTTCTGTAGCATCGATACATGAAAGACATTGTGAACCCTGTCCAACTATGGTGGCAAAGCAAGTCTGTAGGCAACCTCTCCTACTCGGTCCAAAATCTCAAACGGTCCAATGAATTGTGGCGACAACTTGCCACTTTTCCCAAATCTTATCAATCCTTTCCGTAGAAAAACCCATAGAAAAACATCTCCCACCTCAAAAGATAACGGTCGTCTCCATTTATCTACATAGCTCTTCTGTCAGCTCTAAGCTGTAAGTAACCTCTGTCTAATCAGCTTAATCTTCTCAGTAGTCTTGAGTACTATGTCAGGTCCTAAGGCGGCGGTCTCACCCACCTCAGTCCAACAAACAGGAGACCTACAAGGTCTACCATACAATGCCTCAAATGGAGCCATCTGGATACTTGCTTGATAACTGTTGTTGTAAGCAAACTCAATAAGCCGAAGGTGATCCTTCCAACTACCTCCCAAATCAAGTACACATGCCCGAAGCATATCCTCCAAAATCTGGATAGTACGCTCCGACTGACCGTCTGTCTGTGGATGGAATGCTGTACTAAGATGCAATGTTGAACCAAACGTTGCTTGAAGTCCTTCCTAGAACTTCGAAGTGAACTTGGCATTCTTATATGAGACAATAGTTACTGGAACTCCATGCAACCTTACAATCTCCTTCACATAAAGTACACCAAGCTTCTCTACATCATCTGTTGCCTTAATAGGCAAAAAATGAACCGTCTTGGTTAACCTGTCAATGATGACCCATACGGCTTCATTGCCCCTTGGTGACCTTAGAAGACCTATCACAAAATCCATAGCAATATGTTCCCATTTCCACTACGCTACAGGCAATGGTTGCAATAAACCAGCTGGTCTCTGATACTCGGCCTTCACCTGCTGACAGGTAAAGCACTTAGCCACAAACTAAGCAACATCTTTCTTCATTCCGTTCCACCAATACTGACGTCTCAAATTGTGATACATCTTGGTACCACCTGGATGAATTGTAAAGCGGGAAATGTGAAACTCCTGTAAGACGTCCTCACGACAAATCATGGGAACCACTAATAAACCCCTGAACCGTAGACCCCTATCTGCATGCAAGGTCCAATCTTTCACTGTCTCACCACTAGAGATCAAAGCGTGAATGGCATCTAAATCCGGGTCTTGTTTCTGTGACTCAATCACTCATACAACAAGAGTAGGCTGAGCCACAAGACTAAACAAGAATGTTGGCTCACTGTCAACATCGTCATAAAAACAATACAATCCCATCTTTGCCAAATCCTTAAGCATCTTCCACTTCCGAATAGCCAAACAGGCCAGAGTCCCACGAGATTTCTGGCTTAAGGCATCTGCTACCACATTTGCCTTGCCCGGATGATACTGCAAGTCAAAATTATAGTCCTCTAAGAACTCAACCCATCTTCTCTGTCTGTTGTTCAAGTCCATTTGGGAGAAAAAATATTTGAGACTTTTATGATCCGAGTATACCTCAAATCTCTCACCATACAAGTAATGTCTCCAACACTTCAAGGCAAATACAACTGCCGCTAACTCCAAATCATAAGTAGGGTAGTTAAGCTCGTGAGTCTTCAACTGTCGAGACCCATAAGCCACTACTCTACCATCCTACATCAACACACATCCCAAACCATCGCGTGAAGCGTCACAATAAATCACATAACCCAAGCCACGCTCAGGTATCACCAACATTAGAGTTGTAGTCAATCTTGTCTTCAACTCCTGAAAAGATGACTCACAGGCTTCATTCCACACAAACTTAATCCTTTTTCGAGTCAAACGGGTCATAGGAGCTGCCAAACAAGAGAAATCCTTCACAAATCTCCGATAGTAAACCGCTAGGCCAAGGAAACTCCGAATCTCAAAAACATTCTTAGGTTGCTTCCAATTCAAAACTGTTTTAACCTTAGATGGACCTACTGGCACTCCATCTTCTGAAACAATATGCCCCAAAAATTTCATCTCCTGTAGCCAAAACTCACATTTCTCATATTTGGCATACAATCGGTGCTCCCGTAAAATCTGTAAAACAATACTCAAATAGACCTCGTGCTCCTCCCGAGATCGTGAATACACGAGAATGTCATTCATGAAAACTACCACAAACTGGTCCAAGTAATCGTGAAAGACGCGGTTCATCAAGTCTATGAATGCTACTGGCGCATTAGTCAAGCCAAAAGGCATAACAAGGAACTCATAATGTCCATACCATGTACAAAACGCTGTCTTTGGGATATCCTCATCCCTAACCCGTAACTGATAGTAGCCTGACCTCAAGTCAATCTTCGAAAAACAATTGCCTCCTCTCAACTGATCAAACAAATCATCTATCCTTGGCAAATGATACTTATTCTTGATGGTAGCATGATTCAACTTCCGATAATCAATGCACAACCTCAAAGAACCATTTTTCTTCTTAGCAAACAAGACCGGTGTGCCTCACGGTGACACACTTGGTTAGATGAAACCTTTCATCCTCAAATTATCAAGCTGCCTCTTTAATTTTTTCAATTCAACTGGTGCCATACGATACGGTACCATAGAAATCGGCGCGGTACCTGGCATCTAATCAATAGAGAACTCCACTTCTTGGTGTGGAGGCAACTCTGTCAAATCCTCCCGAAATACATCCAGAAAATCACGAACAACTGCAGGATAATCCTCTTTCACAACATCATCTTCTTCGGCTATAAGGCTAGCCAAGAAGTAATCACCACAACTCCGTCCACGAACTCCATAAAATGATGAAATGTGGGAATCACTCCGATCTCCCACGAAAAAGAAACAGTCTCCCTCGGGAATGCAAACTATAACCCTTCATCTGTAACAGTCGATCGTAGCATAAAATGAAGCTAACCAATCCATCCCGAGAATGACATCAAAGCTAGTCATCTCCAGGAGGATAAGATCAAACACAAAAGTCCGCCCGGCTATCACAATGGAACAATCCCGCATAACTCAGCTCAATGACACTAAAACCCCAACTGGCGTATCAACACACAACGCTCGATCCATGAAACTGATCTCTAACCCCAATACAAGTGCAAATGATGATGAAATGAAAGAATAAGATACACCAGAATCAAACAAAACACGGGCCCAAGAACCAAACAATGAAAATATACCTCGGAGAACTGAAGATCCAAGAGATGCATCAGTCAGTGCAAGTGCAAAGACACGTCCCTGCGGTCCCTGAGAACTACCAATCTGAACACCAGACTGCTGTGCCGACACAGTAGGAGTATCCCTCCTAGTTGGTCGTGAACCCTGAGAAGACATGGCAGGTTGTGGTGGTGACAGTGGTCTGAAACCTGACTGAACTGTAGCCGACTGCGACGGCCTCTGCTGTGACCCTCTGCCACTAGTGGTGCCTGCTCCCTGACTCGGACAGTCTTAAATCAAGTGGCCCTGCTGGCCACACCCATAACAAACCCTCGGAGCTGAAGAAACTGAAGACGATCTCATGGGACAATTGGACTTGTAATGTCGAGGCTGCTGGCACTGAAAACAAACAACTGCATTCTTATCAGATCCAGCTAGCATAAGAGTGGTAGGAGCGGATTGTGCAGACTGCTACCCCTAAAACTGAAATGAACCACCCATGTTCCTTTTCCCTGAAGGTCCCTCTGCAGATGGTCCTACATTCCTCTTTTGTCTCCACCGTTCCCTTCTTGCTTCTTTATCTTTGGCCTCCACCTCTAACATTAATGCCCATTCCACTGCCTCAGAATAAACCTTGAGGCCCTGTGCTATTAACAACGGCCTCATCTTGTAATCAAGTTCGGAGATAAACTTCCGAACCTTATCAACTTCATTACTCACCATCTCTGGAGCAAAGCGAAAAAGAGAAGTGAACTTGTTCTCGTATTCTGTCATTGACATATTGCCTTAGATACGGCCAATAAACTGATTCTTTAACTCCTACCTATTGGAGGCATGTAAATACTTCTCATAGAACAGCTCTTTGAATCTATCCCAACTCATCTCTTCAATTTTATATTGATTTGTGATCGATTTGCACCAAAACTTGGCATCCTTTGTGAACTTGTAAGTGGCTAGGATGATTTTGAAGTGATCCTCCGTCACATCCATAGAAGTCAATTGAGTTTCAACTTGCTTCATATAGTCATCCGCTACCATGGGATCTACACCGTCTTCAAACATTACTGGCATCAACTGAGAAAACCCTTTAATAATCTTGAGACGCTTCTGTGCTGGCGTCTCCTCCACTTGTACTACCAGTTGTGGTATCAGCTGCGGCTGAGTAACAATGGTGGCCCTGAAGGCCCTCTGCAACAAGCGATTCAATACTAGTTCCGCCGGACTTTCACCCTCTTCAACGAGTGCTTCCACATTATCCCTCCTTGTAGGAACAACCCTTGGGGCAATTAAATCCCAAAGTAGTGTGTCCTCATCAACTGGCACCGCCGGATTGGAGCTCGAGCTCCCGCCAATATCACCCCTTGTTGGCCTAGGGCCAACTTCCCTGGGTTCCTCACGCCGTGACATCGTTCTATGCAAACGACTTCCCATACAACCCTATGTAGGCCTCTACCCGTCGTCCTAACGGTTTTCAAACCAAGGCTCTGATACCAAATTTGTAACGACCCTAACCGATGCCAAAATTTTTAAAAAAAATTCGGCATGACCTCCGCTAAAAATCATCCTACAAAAACTTGTTTAAAAATATTTTTAAACTGTCCCAACACAATAAACATCTAATACATTCCATGGTGGTACAACCACATACTATATCATCCAAGTATCATAATTACAGTCCCAAAATACAAGATTAAGATCAAATGTCTATGCTTTACAGGCCCATAAGTATAATTATAATATTCAAAGTCCATAAGTCATCGTATAAAATACATTATGCTTAGTCTTACAAAAATAGAATGACCCAAGTACAAAAACAACAAAATAAGCTCCTAATACATACTAAGTCTGTAGTAAAATGTCATCCGCCACTTCTTTCCCGTTTCCTGTAAAAAAATGTTAAATAAAAAGGGTGAGCAACATTGCTCAGTAGGTGGTGCCTAAGACACACCTCTTGTATCCCCGTGAATCCAAACAAGGAATAAGATAATAGGAATTTAGGGTCATGCAAAGTCGGGAAAACAAAATATCAATTCTAAGTTCAAAGCAAATAAATTTTGTGCAATGAATGCAATGTTATGCATGTCACTCCCCATTTTCAGAAAAAACATCATCACTTCACAAACTGTTAATATAACCCACCCTTTGGTGACTTCGCAGCGACACGAGAGAAGGATTGGCTATCGTCCCTGACCTTTGGTACCTTTGCAGTGTCACTTGGGGCCCAGATAGCTCAACCACGCTAGGGCAATCTTCCTAGTTCCCTCTAGGCTATATTAACACACCGGCCCTTTGGTGACTCCGTGGCGACCGGGTTTTTCTCAAAAACCGTTTCATCAAATTCTCCCTAAAATCCCCTTTTAATTTCATTTCAAAACACTTTCCCTTTTCTTTCATGCCCAATGCTTGTGTGCATATATGGAAATGGAGAGAATTTTTAACACACAATTAACAAGCTTTCACATAAAATTTCTAACAAATTCTTAAGCATGATTGGCATGGAAAACTAACACATTAAACATGTTTTTATTTTATTTTATTATTAATATTATTATTATTATTTTTTTTTTTCATACAATTCACTTAACTACACATTATAATTCAATTAAATACACCTTCTCACATATTTCATATATACAATCAAGGCACTTTAAGGAACAATTATCACAATATAGCATGCTAAAATACTAATACGATACTAATCAAGAAAAATTTATTGACAAAGGAACAATCATCACAATTTAGCATACTAGGACACTAATCAAGAACAATTAATTCACAAAGGAACAAGATTGTAGGAATTAGAGACCCCTACCTCTATGTTATGCAAAAACCCACCAATTTGCACCACAAACCCTCAAAATGGGTCAAGATTTTCGGACTCTCTGGGTTGCTCAAAACTGAAATTGCTGGTACACACGTGTTGAGCTCGTCGTGCTCTCCGTTTTGCCACAAACGGCACTTAAAAACACTAAGAAATGAGGGAGAAATCAAAAGTGGAAGCTTGTGTGAAAAAGAAAAGAAAAAGAAAAACAGAGAAGGAGAGGAAGCTGCGAGAGAAATAAGAGATAAGAAAAATGGGTCTACATCCCATAACCACATGTGCCTTAAAATAAGGTGGGCCCCACAGCTAACATAAAAAAAAATCTTTTAACATATATATATACAGACATTACAATAAATCCACACTTGTTGCCAAGAAATTTGCCTATCAGAACCCAAGTCCACCCTCAATGGACACATTCTCCACACAAAGCTAGCAATGGGGCAAAAGCACAACAAATGAGATAAAGATTCTTCTCTTGTACCACACAATGGACACCAATCATTGTCGACCACTCCCTTAATTTTTAGGGTAAAGTACACTAACACCCCTTGAGGTTTGACATAAGGACAAATAGATGAAAGTTGTCCTATTTTTGGACAGTCACACCCCCTCAAGTTTGATAAAATGGACAAAGACACCCTGAGAATGGTGAATTGACTTTATTACCCTTTGATATAAAATTGATAAATACAATTGAATAAGCTTAAATGGGTTATTGGAAAAAACCCATTTGATAAACCAAAAATCCTTATCATCACCACCACAAATCACACGCACAATGCCGCATCATCATCATCAATACCCTTTTTTTTTTTTTTTTCTCTGTTCACTTTCTTCTCTTACCCCTCTTACCCAAACAAAGCCTAGCAGAGTCAACTAACAAGCTTATAACTAAGCTCTTTTTTTTTTTTTTTTTTTTTTTTTTTTTTTCCTGTGTGTAAATATATATATAGTCGAAGGAAGAGGGTCAGCCCCATATACTCAATCGTATATGGAATTAAAGCAAGAGAATGATTTGGCCAATTCAACTTATTCGTACTGATCTCATGGCACTAAACTCAGAAGGGTACAGAACAAATTGCGAGAGAAGCTTAAATCAAGTTCCACCTAGCAGGTCTTAGGCGGCAACCCAAGACACACATATAGATGGGAATTCAAGTTCCACCTAGCAGGTCTTACGTGGCAACCCAAAACACGCACATATATAGATATAGATTGAGAGAGAAGCTTGAAACCCCAAATCGAATTGATGAACAAATTGCAACTCCGATGATAGCAAAACCAATCTAACACCGGCGACACTTTATACAATAGAACAGTGGCATGTGCGACGCATGTAGGGAAGCTAACAGCTGGATCTGGTTCGATCCTCGTTCCGATTTTTGTTCCACCGCTATCAATCACCGACCGAACAATGAAATCATGCCACGACAGGTTCGATCCTCATTCTGATTCTGGCGAGTTTGGTGAAGATTTTGATGAAAGGGGTTTGCAGATGGTCTCTGCAATTCTGATCCGACGAAGACGAGTCTATTCTGCAATTCTGATCCGAAATAGCTTTGTCGTGGCGACGATGAATTCTCCGACGAAGACGAGGCGATGTTTGAGAAGCCCGCCTGTTTGGAATTCCACTCTGTTACCAACCAAAGAGTCAAGTTCTAGGTTTGGGGTGGTGGACCGGTGGTGACTATTTTGTGGTTGTGTGTGTTGCCCAAGTAATAACCCTAGAGGGGGGTGAATAAGGTCATTGGCAAACTATGGAACTTTTTCGATTTAGCTTCTCTAAGCTCATTTTCTTTTTCTCTAAACTTTAGAGCCTAATATGATTTATTGTGATGAATACTTTTCTAATGAGTTGTGGTGTAGATATCACCAAGTACTTGAAATATAATCCAATGAGATTACTACACATGTGTAGATTGCTTTAGCAAATGAACAATTCATTTTGTACATTGAATCATGCTTATAAGTCATGCATCTAAGTGTGATTATCATTGACTCAAATAAATGAATTACTTTAAGCTTCAATGCATTCAATTCAACTAACCATTTAGAATTGGCATTTGCATAATATTGATGTGATTAATATTCAAGGTGCAAATAACATGAAACGCATAGTCATAGAGTTTATTACAAATTTATAAAACACTTGGTGTGTATATAAACTCTAAAGATGAAGGATGTGTTGAATATGCATTTTGTCAAACACTTGGTCTACAACATCATTTTAGCTATATATGAATCAAATATAGGACATATAGTCTAAACTAAAATGAAACACTCATTCAACTTAATCCAAGCATTCATCCCATCCTCCTCATATACAAATTAATATGTCCATATTATAGCATTCATAAATAAAGCATTAAGATTATGAAATGGAAAATGCTAGGGAAATAAAGAGAGTAAGAGTTAGAGAAATTGCAAACCAAAAGACACGCGATGTACATGGTTCGACATAACCTCGGCCTACGTCCATACCTTAAGAAAACTCTCAAGGATTCTACTACGGCTCCTCCTTGCGGGTGGAGAGCAAACCTTTACATGAAGCAACTCCTTGCTTCAAAGTGCTAAGAGAAACACCTTCTCTTAGTCTTCCTTTGGGTCACACCAACCTTTACAAATGAAGCTTGTTTGTTTCTTCTTCCTTGGGCTACATTAGCCCTTACAATAGCTTAAACAAGCTTTTCCCTTGCCAAGAGCACCTCTTGGTCTTCTTCTCTTAAGAATGGATATTTGATGAAGTTCTCAAAGAATGTCTCTCACATAGACAAATATACAACTTATAGCTCTCATACTTAGAGTTACAAATGAAGTAATCAAATGGAAGCTCAACTCTAAGTTTGCAAGATGAATCACATGAATGATATGCAATGTATTTCAATGGTGATTCCTAGTGTGGACAACTAGATCAAAAGCTCCACAAGGAGAAGGAGGAACTAGAGCAAAAGCTCTGTAGAAGTTCCTTTTAAGACCTTTAACCCGAAACCAGACAACCCCAACTCTATTTATAGAGTTTCTAATGCATCTGATATCAATAGAGCTGTTGGGCACACAGTTCTAGGTGAAATAGTCGTTTGAATTTGAATTCGCGCTGGTTCGGTCAACCGAAATGAAACATCATTGTGTTTCGGTTGTCCGAAATGACTTAAGGTTAAACATCATTCTCAGTACTTTTGTTTCGGTAGACCGAAGTAAGACCCACACTTGTTTCGGTCGACTGAAATGAAATGAGATGTACTGAGTGCCTTATTTCGGTAGGCCGAAATAACTTGCCCATGCATTTCGGCCTGCCGAAATGAAACTGCTGCTTCATGAGTTGTTCTAAGTTAACAGATTAGACAGTGCTCTACAAGACATCTGCATAGACCTTATTTTCTTTAATTTATATATCCATTTACTTTAAGTTTACAATGTAAATAAGGAAGAACCCCCCATTTGGAAAATACTAGAAAATTGAAATCCAACTAAATCAAAATGTAGAAATTCAGTTTTAGTATAAATTTGGATTTTCGACAGTTTTTGTAAAAATGAATCCGCATGTAGACTTATGTAGGCTTGGTCAAAAATTATGATAAAATCAGTTTAGGCTAGTTTAAGTATAAGGAGTTATTACAGGGAAAAATTATTGTGAAATAATCATTATTTCAAAAATCCATTTTTCACACTTAGCCAAAAACACAGTTTTTCATGACGTGCATTCTGGGGTCCTAATGTCCGTTACCAACTCATGGTAATAAAGGCTTCTCATGCCTTAATTGTTGACCAATATGAATTATATGATTGATGTGCATGGTCTTATCATTTCTAGCACAAGTGATGAGTTCTTTCAAAGCTTATACAAGCTTGAACTAACTCACTCTTTAGGAAACACTCCATGTGCAATTATATATGAATGAAGTGCATAGTATATTGCTAATGGATATAGGAGCATATGAATGATGATATGAGATGCATGGTCCTATAGAGATGAGCTTTCAAATGAAGTTGCTTCAAAAATAACTTTACAATTTAAGCTAGCACTCACCAAGCTATCTACCCCTTTCTTCAAGCTTTGTTCATGATCTTTTAGGCTTTGAGGTATTCTTCCTTCCTTCTTTTCTTTAAGTTGCTTTCTTAATCAATGATGTCCAAGTTATCTTTGGATGGACTTTGCATTTGGTTCCTTACAACTTCATGTCTTCTTTGTCTCCTTTGTTATCCATAGATGTGATTTTGAGTAATGGAATTCTTGGAATAGTCTTTATGGTCTTCATTGAGGTTCTTCTTTGAATATGAATCATCTATAACACTCAATGTGAACATTAGTCCTTAAACACCATTAATGATTTGTTATCATCAAAACCTTTAGATTGTCCTTGGATGAAATCATTAAGGTCAACAGTGTGTATATATATGTATATATATATATAGAGAGAGAGAGATAAATGAAAAGGGTAATTTGGTCATTTAAGTATTTTGATATTTTATAATTAAAATTAATAAAATAGTGAAGGGTAAAATAGACTTTTCACATGTTTTAAGGCTCTGTTTGGATGGCAAATTTCACAAGGGGGTGTGGTTGTCCAAAAATAGGCAAACTTTCATCTGAGTATCCTTACCCCAAATCTCAGGGAGTGTCTCTGTACTTTACCCTAATTTTTAATTGAGTCAGAACAGGCAGTCCTTCATGACAACACTGCCAAGAACAAATGAATCTTTCTGAGGGACTTTAAGTTTCCAAATAGTCTTCCACAAAGAAGAAAACTCATGATCACAACTTCGAGAAGTAGCATCTGAAACTGAAGGAGGTGGGTATTGCATTTGCATGGCCAATCTGTAAGCACTCCTCACTGTAAATTTACCATTAGGAGTAGCTCCCCAAATTTTCTAATCACCATCCATATATTCTGCTATAGGAATTTGTAAGATTAAATCAGCATCGCGTTGGTTGAAAGTGCTGCAGATCAGAGGCTGATTTCATGTCTTATTGGATTGAATAATCAAGTCAGCCACTGTGGAGACAAAGCTACCTTTTCGAGGGGAAGTAACTCTGGGATTAAGAGGATCAGGAAGCCAATTGTGAGACCAGCAATTAACCTTTTCCCCATTTGCAATGCGCCATCTAAAGCCTTAAGAAATAATTTCCTTTGCAGACACAACACTCCTCCAGACCCAACTTGCGCGACTAGGGCAGTGTGATTCAAGAAAGTCCACATCAGGAAAATATTTTTGTTTGAATATCCTAACAAATAACGAAGAATCACCGACCTCCAGACACCAAGCAAGCTTCGCTAATAGAGCCAAATTGAAAACTTGTAAATTCCTGAATCCCAATCCTCCATCATTCTTGTGAGTACACAGACGATCCCAACTAACCCAGCAAATTTTTGATTTGTCAACTGAACCACTCCACCAAAATTTAATAAACTGACTCTGAATCTGATCACAAATATATAGTGGCAACTTGAAACATTGGGCATCATAGAGAGGTGACGAAGATAAAACAGATTTCAACAAAACTTCTCTACCGGCTTTAGATAGTAACTCGTCTTTAAGTGTCTGAACTTTTGCTCCTCAGAAAGATACTTCAAAGAGGCTGATTTGGATCTCTCAAAGACAGCCGGTAACCCCAAATATTTATTTACCCATGCTGACTCTTGAATGTGTAGAATGCTCCTAATCATCTCTTTTAATTCTGGATCAGCATTAGAGCTAAAAAACAAGCCTGATTTATCAAAGTTCACCATTTGTCCAGACAAAGTTTCATAAGATGATAGAATTGATTGCAAAGATAATGCTTCCTCACGGTTAGCTCAACAAAACAGAATGGCATCGTCAGCAAAAAATAAATGGGTCATTGGACTAATACTTCGGCCAATGCAAATCCCATGAGTATGCCTCCTTACAACTGCTTGCTTCAACAGCAAAGAAAAACCTTCGGTACAGAGCAAAAAAAGAAAAGGAGAGAGGGGATCTCCCTGCCTTAAGCCCCAAGAAGGAAAAATGAGCCCACCACTTTCACCATTAATGAGAATCGAATAAGAGACCGATCGCACACAACCCATAATGACTTTAATCCATCCTTTCGCAAATCCCATATGTTCCATTATGCCTTGAATGAACTCACATTCAACTTTGTCGTATGCTTTAGCCATATCCAATTTCAGAGCCATAAAACTGGTTTTTCCATTCTTCTTCTTCTTCAAATAATGGAGTACTTCTTGAGCCAACATGACATTATCGTGGATAAGTCTGTTAGGGACAAAGGCACTTTGATTTTCAGAAATCAGTGAAGATAGCAAGGGCTTGAGCCTATTAGCTAAAACTTTGGAGTAGATCTTATAAATGACATTGCATAATGAAATAGGCCAGAACTGGGTCATCTTCGCAGGATTCCTCACTTTCGGAATTAGGGTAATGTTAGTATGGTTAAGACTCTTGGTCAAAAATCCCGTTGAAAGAAATAAGTTGAACCCCTTTACCAAATCAGTCTTCATCAAATCCCAATTGTTTTGAAAGAAAAGAGGAGTAAAACCATCAGGCCCTGGTGCTTTATAAGGACCCATACCTTGAACAGCCATCTTTAATTCTTCCTCTGTGCCTTGTTGCAAGAGTGAGATATTATCAACCGCCGACACTGTCAACAGAATTAAATCCCAAAAATAAGATGTGAAACCACCACTTGTCGAGGTATATAAAGTGCGAAAATATTGTTCCACGATTAATCTGACTTCAGGTTTAGCATCCCTCCAAGAACAAATAATTGCTATGAAGGAACATAGGAATGGAGATGAAAAAGATATGGTTTGTAAAAATTTTGGTTTTTAAATTCTAATATCTCATAGAAAATCAGTTGTATTTATTTGATAATTTATATAATATATAAATCATAATTAATTCATTAAAAAATATATATATACACCTAATGTAATGAGTTATGAGGCCTCTTCTCTTATTGGAGGTCCTAGGCAACCGTCTTAATTGCCTTTATGATTGATATAACTTGTAATTAAAATATTACTCCCTCTATCCCATATAAATTGTAATGTTTCTTATTATACAAGGTAAGTATTATATTACCTCCTTAAATAACACTTGAATCCAACTTAGATTGAATAAACTTCATCCAACCTAGTGATGTGGATGTCTCGTATTAATTCTCCATTTCTTAATTGCTTCGCCTTGTATAGCTCTCACCAAAACACTATAAAAAGACTAGCCTGCCTTCAGTAATTTGCATCCTCAGAACATCTCACTCTCACTCTCACAGCTACACCTTTTCTTTCTCTCACTAACTATTTTTGGAAATGTCTCTGGGAAGGGGCGGTGCCATGCTCATTGTGGTTGCACTACTTAGCCTTGTGGCTCACTTTGAGCCAGTTCATGGGGCAAATTTTACAGTTGGTGACAAAGGTGGTTGGACCTTTAACGTGAGTGGTTGGCCTAATGGCAAGAGCTTCAAGGCTGGTGACATACTTGGTAAGTTTTTTTTTTTTTACCTAGTTTTTCTCTTAAAATATCATTTTTTCTCTGTTTACGTGACTCCCATGTATCCTTAATTTTGGATGAAGCACGTTTTTTTTTTTTTTTTTTTTTTTTTTTTTTTTTTTTCACAACATATATAAGAGCTAACAACTCTTAAGGAAAAATTTGAGTGACCCCAATTCATTTTTGGGAAATTTACAGTTTGTAGAAGATCAATAGTTCTTATGTAATACAAGAATTAATGAAGCTGTTTGTAATACAATATAACAAAACATGTGTATCTGCATTTGTCAGAGTTAATCTATGATAGAGCTCATCACGATGTGATTGTGGTAAACCAGGATGACTATAACAGTTGCAAGACTTCACTCGATTCACCGGCGTTCCAAACGGGAGATGACCATATACCGCTTGCAAAGGGACATAATTACTTCATATCTAATTTTCCGGGGGATTGTGTTGCTGGTGTTAAGATAGCCGTCAATGCTAAATAAATTTGAAGCCAAACTAATGGTTAAAATAATTCTCTATCATGTCAATGTTACCTCTACTTTTAATTAATATAATATATATATAGTTGCATTCGTATCAATAAATGCAGCTTATGTATGTCACTTCTATGGCTTGATGTACTTATTCTTGTTCTTTAATTTTAAGCAAATACGCTATCACTAGTCACTATATATATTATGATTATAAAAAAAAATGATAGAATTAAATTCTTAAAACATTCCATAATTCATCACACATACATTCTCCAATCTCGAGACATAATATATTACTCTTTGTGTGATATTATGCCAAAAATATTCTATTCCTCCATAGATCTTATTCTTCTTAAGGACAAATTGGGGTCTCAATTGCTATAGAACATGAAAGTGCATTTTTATTTATTATTTGTAAAAACTCCAACACACCGTGAGCAATTCTAGTGAACTTCAAACAAAGAGGCTCAATATCACTTTTTTTTTTCTTCTGAAATTAGATATCTAATTATATTTAATTAAAATAAAAACTAAAAACCCATTTAGGATACACATGGATTAATGTGCAATCTCTTCTCTTTAGATAGTGCCCCTCGCTAAATTTTAGACTGCCTCAACATTTTCTGTAGCTTAAGCGCTATCCTTTGTATATCAATCCACATAATAAAAGTGTACAATAAGGCTTATTTATGAGATAATGAGGATTGTTAAGAGGGTACAAGACAACTCCAATTGGTGAAGATCCCCGTGGATAGTGAATAAATTTGAAGCCATCATATGTTATTATTAAATGATAGGATATTCCAGCCCATATAGTGCTATGATTGCAGGATTGTATTAAACAATAAATCCTTAACTTTAGGCGGCAATGCTTAATTTTAGGATCAAGTAAATTAATTTTCTTTGTACAGCTTTCAGAATTTAGTATAAAAGTCATGATACCATTGTACAAAGATAATACAAAAAAAGAGAAGTTTTCTCTACAATTTCATCTTTCCCATCTCATATTTTTACATGGTATCAGAGAACCTTTCTTGGTGACTCTAGAATTTTTTTATTTTTCTCTTTCTTCTTCATACCTTCCGTTGAAATATATCCAAGAGATGGGGGACGAACCCAAAACCAATGAAAAGATAACCTCAACTGAGGCATCTCTAAATGTTACGGATCCTCTCTCCTTACACCACTCAGATCATATGGGCATCATTCTAGTCTCCAAAGTTCTCGAAGGAGATAATTATGGGACTTGGAATCGTGCTATACATATCAGCCTTAGCGCAAAGAACAAAATCGGTTTCGTTAATGGATCGATTAAGGCTCCGTCAACAATTGAAACAAAGCTCCCTTTTTTTGGCAAAGATGCAACGATATGGTTCTATCATGGATCCTTAATTCAGTTCATCCAGAGATAGCCAATAGCGTTATATACGCTAAAACTGTAGCAGAAGTTTGGTCAGACCTGAAGGAACATTTTTCACAAGGCAATGCTTTGCGCATTAATCAAATCCAAAGAGACATCGTGGAGCACAGACAAAGGCAACAACCGATTGTTCTTTACTACACCAAATTGAAGGCGCTTTGGGATGAATTGGCGTCATACAATGACCCTCCAACCTGCACTTGTGGAGGACTGAAAAAGCTCAACGAGCGTGAAGAAAAAGAAAAGGTAATGCAATTTCTCATGGGATTAAATGATTCCTATTCCGCTATTCGTGGACAAATTTTGTTGATGCAGCCCTTACCCAATGTTCGGAAAGCCTACTCTCTTGTACTCCGACAAGAGAAACAAACGGAGGTCGCCCTGAATCGTGACACCACTGCCCACCATGCGATGAATGTTGGGAATACTAGACAGCCCACCGCCCAAAATTCCCAAGGAAACAAAGGAAAGCTACTTAAGTGCACATATTGTGAGAAGACACCCATACTGTTGATCGTTGTTGGTTCCGTATTGGGTTCCCACCTGGGCACAAGCTTCATGGCAAGACAGTCAAACCACCAAAGGATAAGAAACCTACAGTCAATAACTCTCAAGTAGAATTCGAAGACCCTACTATAATTGCCAAGGTTCAGACTGCACCACCAAATGATGCCCCCAAGTTCACAACCGAGGAATACAATCAACTCATGGCTCTTCTCCGTAATGGTAATGCTCAGTCCTTTGCAAATGTCACAGGTATATTCACACCCTCCTGTCACTCATCTAATCTTACCTCACACACCTCAAAATATTGGATTATAGATAGTGGCGCCACAGACCACATATCTTTTTCACCCAATCTTTTGCATCAATCATCACCTGCACAACATGCTTTTGTTCAACTACCTAATAGTGCACGAGCCAACATTAATTCCATTGGTTCCACAAAAATAACTCTGGATATATCTCTTGATAATGTGCTTTGTGTACCTAATTTTCGTGTCAATTTATTATCTGTCAGTAAACTTACTCGTGCACTGCAGTATTCTGTTCTTTTTCATCTTAACTTTCGTGTCATACAGGATGTGGCTACGAGGAGGATGATTGGCCTGGGCAAGCAATATAATAGGTTATACTACTTGACGCCTGCTCAAAATCCTCACCTTATCCATAGCGTCACCCACCGTTCTAGTCTTTGGCACCAACGTCTCGGCCATCCCTCTACTGCACCTTTGCAAGCCTTGTCAAAAACAGTCCCAGAAATTCTTTTTGATCCAACACATTTTTGTGATGTTTGCCCTTTGGCAAAACAAACTCGTTTACCTTTTTCATTAAGTTTTATTTCTTCTATTGCATCTTTTGATTTAATCCATTGTGATATTTGGGGACCTCATAGAATTAATTCTCATTCCGGTGCACGTTATTTCTTGACTATTGTGGATGATTTTTCACGTTATACATGGATTCATCTTATGCGTTTTAAATCTGAAACACAAGCTTTTTTAAAAAAAAATTTTCCTTTTGTGAAGACACAATTTAATCGCCAAATAAAAGCGTTCCGTATTGACAATGGTGCTGAATTTATTTCTATGCGTCCATTTTTTGATACACATGGCATTCTTTTCCAGCATTCTTGCCCATCAACGCCTCAACAAAATGGTGTTGTTGAGCGGAAGCATCGTCATCTTTTAAATGTTGGTCGTGCATTAAGATTTCAAGCTCTTGATTAATAGATTGCCTACTCCCATTCTTTCTACAAAATCACCTTATGAGATGCTACACAATGTTGCACCCACGTATGATCATCTTAGAATTTTTGGTTGCTTATGCTATGCCACCAATTTCAAGCCATCCCACAAATTTGATCAACGTGCACGCAAATGCATTTTTGTTGGTTATCCACTAGGCCAGAAGGGTTACCAGGTTTATGATGTCACCACTAAAATTTTTTTCTCTAGCCGTGATGTGATCTTTCATAAACACATTTTTCCCTTTTCCCATCTTCCACCTGATGATCAGCCAGACACACCTGCCTTACCTCTTCCTCAAATAGATGACCCTCTTATCCTACCTATTTCTGATACTGAAGCCCCCCATGAACATAGTGAACCAACCCCACTTAGCCCACCTAGTCCATCTAGTCTACCATATCCACAACCATCAGTTCCCTTAGCACCACCAAATCCCACGGCTTCATCACTACCACCGCGGTAATCTGGTCGAACTTGACAACCGTCTGTCCTCCTACGAGATTTTCATGTTTACCAGGCCCCATTAATTGCTCCTGGTGCTCCATCCTCCTCCAAGTTAGGTACTTGTTATCCTTTATCCCATTTTATTTCTTATTCTAATATGTCGTCTTCTCACCGTTCCTTTGTGAACAACATTTCTAGTATTGTGGAACCTGTAACTTTTGAATAGGCTAATAGTGATCCCAAATGGAGGGAGGCCATGGACTCAGAAATTCGTGCTCTTGAACGGAATCACACATGGACATTCACTACACTACCTCCGGGTAAGAAAGCTATCGGTTGTAAGTGGGTGTACAAGCTCAAATACAATTCTGACGGTACCATTGAGCGTTACAAAGCTCGCTTAGTTGCTAAGGGTTTTACACAGAGAGAAGGCATTGATTACAAAGAAACTTTCGCTCCGGTTGCAAGACTTATCTCTATTTGCTGTTTATTGGCTATTGCTGCCATTCAGAATTGGTCCTTGCATCAACTTGACGTCCAAAATGCTTTTCTCCATGGCGATCTCCATGAAGAAGTTTATATGCATCCACCACCAGGCCTTCGTCGATAGGGGGAAAAGGTTATGTGCCAACTCAATAAATCCTTGTATAGCCTGAAACAGGCCTCTCGCAGTTGGTTTTCTAAATTCTCTATCGCTATTCAGTAAGCGGGTTACCAGCAGTCCAAAGCCGACTACTCTTTATTCACTATGGTATGTGGAGGTTCTTTTATAGCTATATTGATATATGTGGATGACATAATTATTACAAGCAATGATGATTCAGCTATCCTTGCTCTCAAAAAGTTTCTCCACACCTATATTCAAATTAAGGACCTTGGACCCTTAAAGTATTTTCTTGGGGTAGAATTCGCTCGTTCCAAAGAGGGCATCTCTATATCTCAACGAAAATACACACTCGACATCTTAGATGAAGCTGGTTTACTTGGTGCACGACCTGCAAAATTTCCTATAGAGCATAATTTAAAGTTAACCCCAACAGATGGTGAACTCCTCAAGAACCTGTCACACTATCGAAGACTAGTTGGCCGCCTTATATAACTTACATTCACAAGACCAGACATCACTTATTCAGTTCATGTCCTTAGTCGATATATGCAACAACCGCGAAAGCCATACCTTGATGTGGTTCATCGGCTTTGGCATTATTTAAAGGGAGCCCCAGGTCAAGGTTTGTTATTTCCATCTAAAGGCACATTGACATTGACTGGTTTCTGTGATGCAGACTGGGGTGGCTGCCCCACCACAAGGAGGTCAGTTACAGGTTATTGCATTTTTCTTGGAGGTGCACTTGTATCTTGGAAAACCAAGAAACAATCAACTGTATCTCGGTCTACCGCTGAAGCTGAGTATCGATCCATGGCATCAATCACATGCGAGCTTACTTAGATGAGATATCTTTTACATGATTTGAAGGTTTGCCATCCAGAACTTGCAAAATTATATTGTGATAACAAAGCAGCTTTACACATAGATGCCAATCCCGTATATCATAAGCGCACCAAGCATATTGAGCTAGATTACCATACGATTCGTGAACGAATTCAGTCTAGTGCTATCAAAACAGTCTATGTACCAATTGGACAACAGATTGCTGACATGTTTACCAAACCACTCGGACAAGTTGTATTCCATTCTCATCTGGGCAAGTTGGGCATTCTTGACATCCACGCTCCAACTTGAGGAGGAGTATTAAATGATAGAATATTCCAACCCATATAATGCCATGATTGCAAGATTGTATTAAACAATAAATCCTTAACTTTAGGCGTCAATGCTTAATTTTAGGATCAAGTAAATTAATTTTCTTTGTACAGCTTTCAGAATTTAGTATAAAAGTCATGATACCATTGTACAAAGATAATACGAAAAAGAGAAGTTTTCTCAGCAATTTCATCTTTCCCATCCCATATTTTTACAGTTATTCTTTGAAGGGAGCCAAGTTTTTCAAAGAGAGATGCAATTAATGTATTCTCTATTTTTTAAAATATCAACTTATTCTTTTATATTTGAATATATATATCATAAAGTTGGAAATTTTTGAAAACTTGATGGATATTTATAAAAAAACGTACATGTCGATTAGATTCATACAAAAATTTATTTGTTTATCAAAATTTTCAAAAAACACTATAAAAAAATAAATTAGAGAACTATGTGAATCTAAAGTAATTATGTCTTGAAATATTGCAAACTATAAATTAAATAAACTCAACAATTCTGATTTCGTCAATTAAAATGAATCCGTTAATTAAAAAAAGAGAAATGATAGGTAACATGAAAGAAAAAATACGAAAACTCTCCGAATTTGATTTGGGTAAATCACGTTAGAATAAAAAAAAGAAATAGTCCCCTTTTACATGGTATGAAAAAAAAAAAAAAAAAAAAAAAAAAAAAAAAAAACAAACATGGTGCTTTCTCTTTCTCCTCACAAACAGAAAACTAAAAACTTTTCAAAATTGAGATATATACAACACTTCTCCTCGCTAAATTTTAGATTGCCTCAACATTTTTTGTAGCTTAAGCACTATCCTTTGTGTATCAATCCACATAATAGAAGTGTACAATAAGGCTTATTTAAGGGATAATGAGGGTTGTTAAGACGTTTCAAGACAAGTCCAATCGGTGAAGATCCCCGTCGATAGTGAATAAATTTGAAGCCATCCTATGTTATTCTTTTTAAGGGAGCCAAGTTTTTCAAAGAGAGATGCAATTAATGTATTCTCGATTTTTTAAAATATCAACTTATTCTTTTTATATTTGAATATATATATATATATATATATATATATATATATAAATAAATAAAGTTGGAAAATTTTGAAAACTTGATGGATATTTATAAAAAAAAACATTCATGTCGAGCCTTTCTATATCAATCCACATTTACAATAACGTTTATTTATGAGATAGGCAAGATAATCTGGGGTTGGTAAGAATTGTACCACACAACTGAGATTGTTGCATTAAAGAGTATAGGGACACAGGCCGAGCCAGAATCCCATGGTTTGGGGGCCAAACTTTAGGCCGAAAAAATTGCATTATTGATTAGATTCATGCTAAAATTTATTTGTTTATCAAAATTTTCAGAAAACATTATAAAAAAATAAATTAGAGAACTATGTGAATCTAAAGTAATTATGTCTTGAAATATTGCAAACTATAAATTAAATAAACTCAACAATTCTGATTTCATCAATTAAAATGAATCCATTAATTAAAAAAAGAATAATGATAGGTAACATGAAAGAAAAAATATGAAAACTCTCCGAATTTGATTTGGGTAAATCACGTTAGAATTAAAAAAGAAATAGTCCCCTTTTACATGGTATGAAAAAAAAAAAAAAAAAAATGGTGCTTTCTCTTTCCCCTCACAAACAGAAAAATAAAAACTTTTCAAAATTGGGATATATACAACACTTCTCCTTAAACGTCACCTTTTGTAAAATTACTCGCTAAATTTTAGACTGCCTCAACATTTTCTGTAGCTTAAGCGCTATCCTTTGTGTATCAATCCACATAATAAAAGTGTACAATAAGGCTTATTTATGAGATAATGAGGGTTGTTGAGAGGGTACAAGACAACTCCAATTGGTGAAGATCCCCGTCGACAATGAATAAATTTGAAGCCATCTTATGTTATTCTTTTCAAGGGAGCCAAGTTTTTCAAAGAGAGATGCAATTAATGTATTCTCTAATTTTTAAAATATCAACTTATTCTTTTATATTTGAATATATATATAATAAAGTTGGAAATTTTTGAAAACTTGATGGATATTTATAAAAAAAACATACATGTCGAGCCTTTCTATATCAATCCACATTTACAATAACATTTATTTATGAGATAGGCAAGATAATCAGGGGTTGGTGAGAATTGTACCACACAACTGAGATTGTTGCATTAAAGAGAATAGGGACACAGGCCAGAATCCCATGGTTTGGGGGCCAAACTTTAGGCCGAAAAAATTGCATTATTGATTAGATTCATGCTAAAATTTATTTGTTTATCAAAATTTTCAGAAAACATTATAAAAAAATAAATTAGAGAACTATGGGAATCTAAAGTAATTATGTCTTTAAATATTGCAAACTATAAATTAAATAAACTCAACAATTCTGATTTCATCAATTAAAATGAATCCATTAATTAAAAAAAGAATAATGATAGGTAACATGAAAGAAAAAATACGAAAACTCTCCGAATTTGATTTGGGTAAATCGCGTTAGAATTAAAAAAGAAATAGTCCCCTTTTACATGGTATGGAAAAAAAAAAATGGTGCTTTCTCTTTCTCCTCACAAACACAAAAATAAAAACTTTCCAAAATTGGGATATATACAACACTTCTCCTTAAACGTCACCTTTTGTAAAATTACTCGCTAAATTTTAGACTGCCTCAACATTTTCTGTAGCTTAAGCGCTATCCTTTGTGTATCAATCCACATAATAAAAGTGTACAATAAGGCTTATTTATGAGATAATGAGGGTTGTTGAGAGGGTACCAGACAACTCCAATTGGTGAAGATCCCGGTCGACAGTGAATAAATTTGAAGCCATCTTATGTTATTCTTTTTAAGGGAGCCAAGTTTTTCAAAGAGAGATGCAATTAATGTATTCTCTATTTTTTAAAATATCAACTTATTCTTTTATATTTGAATATATATATAATAAAGTTGGAAATTTTTGAAAACTTGATGGATATTTATAAAAAAACATACATGTCGAGCCTTTCTATATCAATCCACATTTACAATAACATTTATTTATGAGATAAGCAAGATAATCAGGGGTTGGTGAGAATTGTACCACACAACTGAGATTGTTGCATTAAAGAGTATAGGGACACAGGCCGAGCCAGAATCCCATGGTTTGGGGGCCAAACTTTAGGCCAAAAATATTGCATTATTGATTAGATTCATGCAAAAATTTATTTGTTTATCAAATTTTTCAAAAAACACTATAAAAAAATAAATTAGAGAACTATGTGAATCTAAAGTAATTATGTCTTGAAATATTGCAAACTATAAATTAAATAAACTCAACAATTCTGATTTCGTCAATTAAAATGAATCTATTAATTAAAAAAAGAGTAATGATAGATAACATGAAAGAAAAAATACGAAAACTCTCCGAATTTGATTTGGGTAAATCACGTTAGAATAAAAAAAGAAATAGTCCCCTTTTACATGGTATGAAAAAAAATAAATAAAAATAAATAATTAAACATGGTGCTTTCTCTTTCTCCTCACAAACAGAAAACTAAAAACTTTCCAAAATTGAGATATATACAACACTTCTCCTTAAACGTCACATTTTGTAAAATTACTCTCAACTCCTACTTTTTCTCTAATAGACAAATACATTTTGTAAAACTTTAATATGATGAATTAATTATAGATTAAAAATTCTTTATTATAAATTTTAAAACTATAAATATTTGGTTATATAAATTTTAAAACAATAAATATTTTGTTTATACAGAGTATAGATAATACTGTATTTGTATAGTTCTATGAATTTTTACTTTGTAAATTTAAATTTATGAAACACGGGAACAAGTAATTTTCGGTTTTTGATTTTTTTTTTTTTTTTTTTGCTCTCTCCGTCCAATTTTGGAGAGTTTTTAGTTTCGTGTTTGTGATGGGAAAGAGAAAGCACCATATATATATACACATAATGGCAAAAAATATATATATACACAATGAGAAATAACTCTTAAGTTAACATTTATGTCTCTGATTCTTTTTCTTTTTCTTTTTTTTTTTAATTACATAGCGTGAAACTTACATAGTAAATTTTTTTTTACCAAGACAACCATAAACAAGAATCAATGGAGATGATGAGAGATCAATGGAGTTTTGAAGGTTTGTAACAATTGCTACTGTTTCACTTTTGGGTAAGATCAAAGTAAAATTTAAGTGTGTGTGTGTATATATATATATATGTGTATGATATATTATGTTATTAATTTGCTATTAGGTTTGGGTTTATGTTATATATTTTTATTGCGCTTAAAATTGCTAAAGTCCCAACAAAGAATTTTATTTGGGGGCAAGTATTTACTTATCTATATTTGGTTTTATTGGGCAGTATAGTAATAAGTGTTTTCAAAAAATCTAGGGCATGACCCCTCCTTCGGATCCTTGTAGGAAAAGGAAGTGCGAATATTATCTCTTTGTAATTAACAGGTTTGTGTCATTTTTCTAACATATGGGACCTCGTGCTTTGTCCCAAACACACTATAAAAAAGCTAGTCTCCTTTAGTACTTTGCATCACCAGAACTTTTCAGTCTCGCAGCTATACATTCCTTTCCTCTCTCACCAACTCTTTTTGGAAATGTCTCAGGGAAGGGGCAGTGCAGGTCCAGCCATGTTCATTGTGGTTGCACTACTTTGCCTTGTGGTTCAGTTTGAGGCAGTTCATGGTGCAACTTTTATAGTTGGTGGCTCCGGTGGTTGGACCTTTAATCTCAGTAATTGGCCTAATGGCAAGCGCTTTAGGGCCGGTGACATACTTGGTAAGCTTTTTTTCTTCGCCACCTATTTTGTTGCCCTTAAAGTATCATTGTTACTCTGTTTCAGCAATATCAACAATGCACAATGGTTTCTTTTCTTCTTCTTTTTTATTTATTTATTTAAATCATTTGTCAATAATAAATATATCAATTTTTTACATCTAATCTGTGCATTTTTTGATAACAAACTTAGCTTAGATAAATGTAATTATGCTAATAGGAAGTGTGGAGCTTGTTGGCGGATCCAACTTATTATGTAGTCCAAATTCCATGGGAATATAGGAAAGATGGTTAATCATTTCGTTTTGCTCTTTATCATAGTGAAATCTTGGCGATTTCATAGATGTTACCCTAGTTTTGGATGAACCGCGTTATTTAAAATTTAAATTTCACATCAACATAACAAAAATATACATTGGGCAGTGTTCAACTATAATCCAACTTTCCACAATGTGGTTGCCGTAAACCGGGGCGGTTACAGCGGTTGCAGTACTCCGGCCGGTGCAAAAGTGTTCCAAACAGGGAAGGACCGGATAAGGCTTGACAAGGGACAGAATTACTTCATATGCAATTTTCCCGGGCACTGTCAGTCTGGAATGAAGATTGCCGTCAATGCAGCATAATGTGAAGCCAAATTCAAGTGTAAAATATAATTGTCACTATCTCTAGTGTAAAATAATAGTTGTATTGCTATCAATGCAGCTTATGTGTGTGACCTAATTTTATGTCTTACTATGTAATGTACATTTCAGTACCACTTTACCATGTGGATTGCGAGATTAATTTCCGTGATTAGAACGTCAAATTTGAGAAATTCAATAATCTTTCTGTTAAGGGTTAGAGGTCATGGGGTCACAGACTTTGTTTTATTAGGATCTGTTTGGATGGGTTGGTGCTGGTGCTGGTGCTGGTGCTGGTGCTGTTTTTGTTTCTGTATGCAATTTCTGTAATATGAAAACAAGTGATATCATCATGAAAGTGTTTGGGATGGTAACACTTAAAGGCTGTTTGTTCTGTTGTTGCAAGAAAGTCAAATGTCACGGGCTTGGTGTAACTTTTTATATTATCTTCTAATCTACAAATGTTGTAGTTGCCTTCAGCACCATAGAACCTGTTATGCTATCTTATTTAATCCATTTTCATGAAATTTTATAATCCAAACACCAAAGTGTGGAATCATCCTCGGAATCCAGTAACGAAGTGGATTTTATATCTTGCGGATGAGCATTGTTCGGCCAATGATTTCTGTGCAAATTCTCGTCGCTTTCGGTGGCTATTGTTTTGTGGATTGCTGTGGGAATACACTAATGTGATGTTTGGAAGCATCGAATCGAATCAACGCTTTGAATTTGAAATTGAAAAATTTTTAGTACAAAGTTTGAATTAAATTACTTTGGATTCTATATTCAAACTACCAATTCGGTACTCTCAAACATGGCATATCTTTACTTTGAACCTAAACAAAAATCAGCATTTCTAATATTCCTAAAATGATGCTTATAACATCCTAATTTCTAATTATTCAGTTCATATTGCATTTCTATGCAAAATCTTTTGTTATATTCAACTTGCAATTGTTTCTAAGCCTTGAAAAATACTTTAAAATTGATGATTATTTGGATAAAATCCTATGTTTAATTAGTATAAAAAAGCAATGCTATAATTGAAGGCAGGGAGAAGAGTGTTGGGATCCACCACTTCACATCTCTCTATCTCTTAGTCGGTTTTTCAATGTCGTCAATTCAAATCCAAAGATGTTAATCACACACAGCAAAATGAACACATTTATTTCTAAGCAAGTCTTCAGCAAAATGAAAGAATATTTATATCCATTACCAAAGCTGCATATTTGAAATGTAATTTGTTAAAGATAAAGGGCACAAAGGGAAAGAATGCTATTATTATCCATCTATTCTCTTAAAATTTCATTGTATGGTCGGCAAAATCATTCCCTCTCTCAACATTCAAGCAACAAAGGGAGAGGACTCAAGGGGAGAGTATTGAAGCTCTGCCAAATTCTTCTCTCTTAAGAATAGAACGTCGAAGCTCTAACGAATTCTTCATTCATACCTCCAAAGCATCCAAAAATCGAAGCTCAAAAGCATCCAAAAATCTAAAGTTTAGAAGAATAACAAGCACCTTACAATCGTGCCGTTCATCTATAACATCCAAAGCTCTAAAGGCGAAGAATAACAAGCACATCAAAATCGTGCCTTTCTTTCTCAACGATTCAACAAATCAGAAAGATCAACAACAAAAATGTTCGAGATCAAGCCTTTTCAGTCCTTGATTAGAAACTCTTTCTAATTTTTGTTAACGACAAAGACTTGAAGAAGACACTCAACAACCCGATTCAAGATCAAAGCTTGAGTAGCCCTTGGATTCAAACCGCAAAGGAGATCAAATCAGAGAATACACTCTTTTTATTGTAAAGATATTTACAGAGAATTGTACTCGAATTTTACAAAATTAATAAAATTGATATTTGTTTCATATTTTGTTTTTTATTTTATAGATATAAAATTTGTGTGTACAAATTTTAGTCAATCTTTAATGAGCCACTTGTTCAAGTTTTTTATTTTAATTTTAAAACTAGTGCAACTATTTACAATTAAGTGGATTACACCCCTAGTTAAAATTTGTCCCCACATTACTCGTCAACCAGAGAATGACCATTGACCAATATTGTATGTGGATAATACTATGTGCTACTGTTTATATATGTAGATGTATGTATATGTATGTGAGTGTCTCTGTGTTATACGCATATCATATGGCTGAGATGGCCCATCATTTTTTTTTTTTTTTGACTGAATTATGGCCCATCATTAATTTTTGGGCAGTTGCTTAATTAACGTCCACTTGTATTGATTAAATGGTCCATGATGGAGAGGGAAAACCCAACTGCTCCCGTACATAGGATCTCACAAATGTTTGGTAATTCGAACCCAACTAGACCCAGTCTGATTTTTTAAGAGCATGTATAATTATTTTTACAATTAAACTTAAATTTGGGTTAAAAAATTTCAACTCGAATTTAATTAAGGTTGAGCTTGGATTAAAGTACTAGCATCCCGATCCAAACCGAACTCAAATTCTATTATTATTTTCATACATATTTTTATTTTTAAATACATTATATATAATATTTAAACTATGATTACTTTTTTTTTTTTTAACTTATTTTGTTAAATCTTAACTTATTGTATGTTAACATTTAGGAGAATTTTCTAAAAATTTGTTTGTAATTTATTAAAAATCTACAAAAAGTCTTTAAACTATTTATTTATTATTATTATTTTTGTTTAAGAGTAATTTAATCTAAAACTAATTCAATATCATATTAAATTTTTGGTATAAAGATTAGTTATATGAATAACCCGAATTGACCCAAAATCTAAACCTGAGTTGTAAGCCCGAATTTAAAAATAAAAGGACGGGATGGGCTTGAATTGAGCAGTCAAGGTTGAAGATAGGATAATGATTGGGCTTGGATTTAGCATTTCATATGGTGGGTTAGGCTCAAGTTATACCTCAAATCCAACCAACTCGCCCGAGTTGCAGCCCTACCTCGTATTAATACATAAAAAGTTTGCCTTTATGGAAATATATATATATTATTATTTATATATGTTTATTATTATTTTAATATGTATATATTTATTTATTATTTATATATGTTTAATTTTAATTATTTCAATATTTTTTATTATTTTCTTTTGATTATAAATTTATACAATAAATAGAGAGTGACAAGTTTTTGTTGGTGTGCAATATTATCAAACATTATGAAGAAGGGGAGATCGATGATTTCCACACACTATTTTTTATTTTATTTTTTTTCCAATTGCGCACCACCACTTGTTTTTTTAAATATAAAATAACATAATTGCTGTTCAAATTCATAATTGTACTTCCTTATTAAATAAAAAAGAACTCATGCACTCTACCTTTGTAAATTAATTTTCATTTCATTTTGATATAGAATATTAAACTCATAAGGAAGTTAAATCAATAAAGAAGTAGAGGAGGATAAATGTTATAAGGGGATACTTGTCCCATATTAGATTTGAATAGGGATTGAAGTGTGTATAAATGGGTTGGCATGTAATCCTACTCAATAACTTGAGTTTTTGAATAAATAGGTAAGCGTCTATATGTTACAGTTGGTATTAGAACTAGATCCGGTGCCACGCCAAGCGTCCAATCTGGAAGGCGCCCGAATGAGTCATCCTGGATAGGTAGGATGACCCGATCGCAACGAGAGTGCTGTGAGTTCGAATGAGAAAATGTTATAAGGGATTTCAAATTAAATTTGGATGTAAATTAAAATGTGTATAAAAAAGTAGGTATGCAACAGTACCCAACAATGTCCACTCGTTACAATAAATTATAAGAGAGGGAAGGGTGACTATTATTTATTTTGATATTTTTCTAAAATCATGATTAGGTAAAGGAAGTATTCTCATAGATGAACAGTATTCCTCCTAAAAATGGAGGGATGAATCAACTCAAAAGTTAGGACATAAAATTAATACAAATTGTATTTTTCGTTACCCAAATGTCCAAGTACTAATTTGTGGAATGTGAAATTAATACAAATTCTATTTTTCGTTACACAATTGTCCAACTACTAATTTGTGGAAAGTGTAAGACGTGGCGGTGTTATTCGAATGATAGATGGCGGGCCTTAAGAGGAATCTGAGTCTATCCAATAGCTTTAGCATTGTGAGTCATTGGTCACAGAAGAGAAAAAAACGAGGAGGAATTTCTAAAGTAAATTACATATTAGTGCATCACGAGGGTAGACAAATTATGAAATTGAGGACGTTTAAGTAATTATGATGTCAGGATATTCTTATCAGTTGGGACAATGCACGTTGACTCATAAAGGCTCAAAAAGCTGATTGGGAAATGACTGGTCTTCATAATCCGAGAGAAAGACCCACTGAACCAGTGTTTGCTGGCCTTTCGATATAAACAATCCTCTTCCAATAAAACCTTCTATGCTCGGACCAATCTACCATTACGCCATTTTCTTGTCGGTAGACAGTTTTACTGTAACTAATATGAAACATATAGGGATTATTACGTGTACCTAGAATTTTGGACTCTATTTTATTATTTAATGAAGTCAATATTATGATATTTTGAAAAAATAAAATTGATTAAAATATTGAGATGATTATGAAAAAAAATTTGTTCATTGGTTCAAATTATCTTATTATTTTTAGCACCACTTTTTTGTATAAGAGTATTATTTTTGTGAAATCAGATATCATTTTTTGGGCAGGTTGTGTCATCAAAATAATCATCACAATATATATATACATATGTATATATGGAGAAAGAGGAGAAAAAGAAGGACACGAACTCTGAGAAAAAAATTTTATTGAGCACTACAAAGTCCTAAAATATTTGTCAAATATTTTGTGGATAGCGATAGTGTGAGTTAAAAATTTTAAACTAATTAAAAGTAAACACCGACTTTAGTATTTTATATTAAAAACCAAGGGCAACTTGATATATGAAAAAGACCAATCCAGTCTCCCATGCTCCTTCTAGAAAGTAACCTTCCTCCAACTCCATCTTCAGATTTGATCGGCCCCTCTCCACCTCCCCATCTCTCATTCATTGAAGAAAGAAATGAAAAAAATGATGGACAGAGAACAAGAGGAAATGCAATTCCTAGGCCCCTTTGGCATCTACACAGAAGCCTACCAGATCATCCTCTCATGGAGGAAGATCTTAACCCAAATCACTCTAGCTCTGATCCTCCCACTCTCCTTCATCCTCCTAGCTCACATCAAAGTCTCCGAATTACTCACATCTAGGATCACACACAACCAAACCGAGCTACAACAAGCACAAGCCGGCACGCAGACGTATGACAACATCTCCAACAACATCTCATCCGAATGGACCGCCTTTTGGCTCTTCGAGCTCGCATACACCTTCTTCTTCCTCATCTTCTCTCTCACCTCCACTTCGGCTGTGGTCTACACCGTCGCATGCATCTACACGTCTCGCGAAGTGACCTTCGAGGTGGTTATGAGTGTCGTCCCAAAGGTTTGGAAGAGACTCATGATCACTTTCTTGTCCACATTCTTGTCTTTCTTTGCTTATACCCTAGTTTCTGCAATTATCGCGATCCTAATCATACGGGGAATGACAATTGGAAGTAGTGGCATCCGTTTGCTGATTGTCTTGATCTTGTTTATTATATATGGTTTAGGGCTTTTGTATATGACCATTGTTTGGCAGTTGGCTAGCGCGGTGTCGGTGCTTGAAGACTCCTATGGGTTTAAGGCCATGGTCAAGAGCAAGAACCTCATAAAGGGTAAGATGTGGGTGGCCATAGTTATCTTTTTTGTGTCAAGTTTCTCATCCTTTGTTATATATACACTTTTTGAAAAGTTTGTTGTGCATGGAGAGTCACTGATTTTGGTGTATAAGGTTGGATTTGGGATGCTGTGTTTGTCATTTCAGTCCATGTTGTTTCTTTTTGGGTTGATTATCCAAACTATTATTTATTTTGTATGTAAGTCGTATCATCATGAAAATATCGATAAGTCAGATCTCTCGGATCACTTGGAAGTTTATCTTGGCGAGTATGTTCCTTTGAAGGAGACGGATGTTCAACTGGGACAATTTCATGTTTAATCTGCTAAATTATGTTTGGTAAGAAAGGTTGTAACGGTTGGTTTTTTAATCTTTATATGATCAGGTTTGTGATGTATCAATTACATTTGTACTTAATTAGTATAAATTATAAATATTTTGAAGTGCTTTTACAGTTCCAGCCCACTCCCCATCCCTCTTTTGTGGTGTGGTGTCCTTCACTATTTAAAAAACTCAAGTGCATTCTTATTCCACATTTTGAAGTACTTCATTCATTTAATTTTTAGTGCTAAACTTTGTATAAATGAGTGTAAATTGAAAAAGTCGAGTTTACTCAAATTTTTTTTTTTTTTTTTCCTCGTTTTTAGGATGAAGCTCAATAATATTCACAATTGTATTTTGAGTTGGCCTGCACTCAAATAAAGTTTTATATAATTTTTTTTTTTTTTTTTTGTCTTGTACCGCACCGCACCTCTGGCAAGGTCCCTTTCGGATCCACTCCAGGTTACAAATCGGGAATGCTATCGACAGGTCCACATCTCAACAATAATTAAGTGTTATAATGGCAATGGACGACTTAAAACCTGAGACATGAGCATTTACAGGTCATTATCTTACCAATTCGGTCAAAAATCTGAGACATGAGCATTTACAGGTCATTATCTTACCAATTCGGTCAAGTTTCTGTAAAGTTTTATATAATTTGTGTGCAAGGCTAGTATAAAAGAAAGAGTTAGGTCACCATTCGACGTCTGCATCACACACAACCATGAATCTTGTAAGTCCTGAGAAGTATTTTCTAAAAGAAAAGGGTGAAGGAACTAGTGTTGGATTTAGGACCAGTACGTCAAATTCAAAAAAGTAATTTCTATGTTCCAAAAAAAATTTCCATTTTAGGAATCTAACTTTTTTTAGAGTGTTATTTTTAATATTTTTTTTTATTATAATGGTAGGGACAGCGAATATATAAACATATCTTTTTATAGTGTATCCACATGTTTTTATAATTTTAAAGTAAGGAGGATAAATTAAAAATATTAAGAAATTAGTTTATTGGATTTTGATTTGGAACAACAAAAAAAAAATGAAAAGGTAAATATTTGTGGGATGGTGGGAAAACAAAGTTTTTTTTTTTTTTTTTTTTTGGGGTAATTAAGGGTATTCAAAGTTATTAGTTGGAACGGTGGGATACTTGTCATTCAACCTGAAAGTTAAACTGGTAGGTGCCTACACCAACAGTGGGACGAGCCGATAATGACTCGGACATAGACAAATAACGTTACATAGGATGATGCCACTTGTAAAAAAAATTATCAAAAAAAACTTAAGATGTTAGAACTTAGATTGTTAGGTGGTACTGTCTAATCGCTCCAATAAGTTCAAGAGTCTCTCCCCATCCAAATTCGAACTTAGAATAAAAATCCATAACCCTAAAGCAAACTAACCCAACCCAACCCAACATGAGCCCATTCTCCAACCCAAAACCCATTCTGCAGATACTAACACTTGTTTACAGCTCACCAATAGTCTAACAATCAAAACTATAAGTTAAATAACAATAATAGTTGGACTAAGAAATCAGACCCAACATAGCAACCAAAATCACAATATGAGCCCCATTCTCCAAAGAGCTCACACCAACCCAAACCCCGTCAACTCCTCCTAAAGGCAAATTAAATAAATAGTGTAGGACAGCACAAGTGAACCTTTTATTTTTTTATTATTTTTTTTAAGGCAAAGGACTCTCACAATGTTTTCCGAAGACTTGAATCCCATGTCTTTAAATTTGAAGGTGAAGGAGATCCAAGGGTGAGCTTGGGTGGACTTGACCCTGCCAAAAAAGAAAAAGAAAATTATACCTAATTTTAGTTCAATTCAAAAAAAAAATTATTATTACTATTAGCCTACATTGACAATTTTCGAATTCGTCCTTGAATATCATTAAACCATAAAGTTTAGTATTGGTAGTGGTAACAACAAAGACAATCCAAATACAAACACAAGATATTTATTACAGCTTCAATCTTGGTGATCCTCCTACAAAACTCATGATTGACTCTTAACAACTTTTGAGACTCCTTATATTTTCTGAACCTTCTTTACATAAAGGATAAACATCCCAAGACGAACCATTGGCTCTAGTACCACCTATTTTTTTTTAATTTTTAAATTTTTTATTTTATTTTAACACCACTCTGGTAACAACTAAGACAATCTCAATACAAAACACAAGATACCGTGAACAAGTCTTTGCAGGCCTTTCGATACTAATAGGCCTCTTCCAATTAAACCTTCTATGTCAGACCAATCTACCACTATGCCCTTTTCTTGTCCATAGATAGTTACTGTGACATATATATTTATGAAACGTATATATACAATTTTATTTTTTTAATTGCACTCTAATTATTTAATTTTTTAAAAATGATATAATCTGCATTTAATAAACAAACTCACAGTTTAGAGTTATTTAAAAATTACTTTTGCACTCCACTTTTAAAAGATATTTATATCATTTCAATAATTAAAAAATTCAAGTAGAAAGCAAGCATTACATTCTTCAAGCAAACTCAAAGACTAATATTAATACATTGAAAAATCTGCTTAAAATTAAATTCATATCTTTTGTTATACCATACATTTAAATTCATATATTTTGTTGTCACGCTCCAAAATTTTAATACAAATACATCTGATAACAATACTCAAAATAGGTGTGAACTAAAAATCATTCCAAAATACATTACTCAAATCAATATGAAGTTACATTAAGTCCTCAAAATAAAAATCTCTCACAACTAAGAAAAAAAAAAAAAAAAAAAAAAAAAAAAAAAAAAAAAAAACCTATGAATTGGGTCTGGTCCTCAATGCCAACTCTACAACTACCAAGTACATGAAATGATAAAAATGGAGTGAGCTCAAAAGCTCAGCAAGATCCCTGCTCAACAAGTTAACCCATACCCTCTCCTTATAGTAGTGCATTTTAATTACATTGACATTGTAACCATAGTAAAAATTAGTAATACTAGTGGTAATATCTCATAAAGTTCTAAATCTGGATTATATACTAGTCTTCCAGATTAACCCATTCAGTAATTAACTTTTACTTGGTACAAAATACTTATGAAACACATCTCATAAAAAAGATTAGAACACTTTTTGTAAATAAGGAACACATCCGGTTTAATAGTGGAACACATTCAAAAATTTAGGGAACACATCCCCATCAAGTCTGTAACACATCGAGTAATAGGAACCCATCCATTAGTCCAAGTTTGTACACAAATCAAAATATAAAACTTCATATAATATTTATCTATCTCAACACTATAATTTAGTTTACTCAACTGCACCATAAGTTAGAGTTTGCTTTCAATTAACCAGCCCAAAATAAAAAGGTTATATATATACCTGATGGTGTGTTGTACAGTGATCTATCTATTAACTAATAGTGACTTTATCATGTATCAACTATACCTTAAACCTTCTAGTAGTCTAGTAATAACTTTAATTTCCCATCTTCATGTATCAAACTCATATTCCCAATATCGATAAATTGAAATACTCTAATAGTCAAAAATCAAATAATAATATTTAAATATATTCTAAATATTATTTACAATTCCATAACTTCTAAAATACTCCAATATTATTATATGAGTCCAGATTACTAAGGTTGTATATATATTCATAGTCCCTTCAAGAAACTAGTTGGATAACGGCAAATGTTTAACATAGAATCTGCATCATCGAGCATTTAGATATTACACAATAGATCACAGATAGTTTTATGTACTACAGATTAACCCAATTAGGATTCCAACCATTAATATTTAATATCTGTGTCAATATAAAAAAATACACAATACATCAGGATCCAATAATTTAACTACCCAATAGATCACAATTGATAAATTCGTAAATATGATATATATATTTATAAGAGAGAGCTAAGAGTAACTTGCCGATTAAACTTCTGCTAACACTTCATGATCCAACACAAATGCCTCTTTCAATTTTCCTCTATAATTCTTCCTCGTAATTCTTTTTGACCATAAAACCTTCTTCGTCTCTACAATTATTATTTATAATTCCGAAAATAAAATCCTTTTGCATTCCCAAGTAAATATAGTTTTAAATCTAAATAACATCTTTCGTTAGAGAATTACGGAACTTCGCTTAGTCGTAGACTAATTCTCACAAATTTATAACGTGATGCAACACGTATCACATATTTTAATCCACATTTAAAACTTAAATCCGCAACCAATCGTCTTACAGCTAGTGTAACTCCACTTAACCTGAAGTACCAAATAATATGGTTAAACCACGTACTTAACCATATAAAAAAAAATCTATACGTAATACCCCATTATAAAAATGATGGTTGTTACATTTGTTATACCATATATATATATATATATGGAGAGAGAGCAGAAAAAGAAGAACACGCCTATGTGCTTTATTTTTCAATCAGGAGAAAAATTATAAAATAAAAAGAGCTACTTAGCTGATGTTGATGTTGTTAATTATTCAATTCACTCTAGATGTATCTGGTGAAGAATTTAAGGGCAGTAGTATTTAAATCCTCCATATATAATGCAACCATTTGGGAAACATATTAGAGATACAGGAAAAAAAAAAAAAAAAAAAAAAAAAAAAGAGAAAATGAGTTTTTCAAATAAATAAAGGAGCATGTTGTGTCACTTATCTCTCTTGAATTATGACCTTCACATTTTAAAACAAACAAAGAAACAAAAAGTAAACATTGACTTTAGTATTTTATATTAAATACCAAGGGCTATTTGATATATTAAAAAGACCAATGTCAACTCCTATCCTCCTTCCTAGAAACAACCATCCACCAACTCCATCTTCATATTTGATCTTCCCCTCTCACCTCCCCATCTCTCATCCATTGAAGGAAACATGAAAAAAATGATGGACAGAGAACAAGAAGAAATGCAATTCCTAGGCGTCTTCGGCATCTACAAAGAAGCCTACAAGATCATCCTCTCATGGAGGAAGATCTTCACCCAAAT